CTGGAAACAGAACAGCAACAGGCAAACACACAAATATTGACCACTGTGAATGCTTCATTAAGCCCCCCCCCCCCCCCCAATCATCAAGGGTCATCACCAGTGTTGGTCAGCGCCAAGTGGAACCATTCAAACTGCATGAGTGATACTGCTTTCCGGTACAACAACATGTCGATGACACAACTAGCACAATACTTCTTCACAGCACCTCTTAAAACACCTATCGGCCAAAATGAAATAAAAAAATCAGCCATTGTATCGAGAGAAAGAGAGAGAGAGAAATGATTGGAAGAACATTTCAATAGCTACACGCCACACGCGGTGCAATTCACGAAGAAATAACATGTACTAGGTTTGCAAGAAATGCTTTTTCTTGTTGAAATCGTATACAACTTGTGAAAAAGGAAGTGCACAAAGCAGCAAACTGTCATCAACTGGGGTACTTTTAAAAGAATAACATCCCAAAACACAGGAATCATTCCCAAAACACAGGAATCATTCCCAAAACACAGGAATCATCCCCAAAACACAGGAATCATCCCCAAAACACAGGGATCATCCCCAAAACACAGGGATCATTCCCAAAACACAGGGATCATTCCCAAAACACAGGGATCATTCCCAAAACACAGGGATCATTCCCAAAACACAGGGATCATTCCCAAAACACAGGGATTATTCCCAAAACACAGGGATCATTCCCAAAACACAGGGATCATCCCCAAAACACAGGGATCATTCCCAAAACACAGGGATCATCCCCAAAACACAGGGATCATTCCCAAAACACAGGGATCATCCCCAAAACACAGGGATCATTCCCAAAACACAGGGATCATTCCCAAAACACAGGGATCATTCCCAAAACACAGGGATCATTCCCAAAACACAGGGATCATCCCCAAAACACAGGAATCATTCCCAAAACACAGGGATCATTCCCAAAACACAGGGATCATTCCCAAAACACAGGGATCATTCCCAAAACACAGGGATCATTCCCAAAACACAGGGATCATTCCCAAAACACAGGGATCATTCCCAAAACACAGGGATCATTCCCAAAACACAGGGATCATTCCAAAACACAGGGATCATTCCCAAAACACAGGGATCATTCCCAAAACACAGGGATCATTCCCAAAACACAGGGATCATCCCCAAAACACAGGGATCATTCCCAAAACACAGGGATCATTCCCAAAACACAGGGATCATCCCCAAAACACAGGGATCATCCCCAAAACACAGGGATCATCCCCAAAACACAGGGATCATTCCCAAAACACAGGGATCATCCCCAAAACACAGGGATCATTCCCAAAACACAGGGATCATTCCCAAAACACAGGGATCATCCCCAAAACACAGGGATCATTCCCAAAACACAGGGATCATCCCCAAAACACAGGGATCATTCCCAAAATACAGGGATCATCCCCAAAACACAGGGATCATCCCCAAAACACAGGGATCATTCCCAAAACACAGGGATCATTCCCAAAACACAGGGATCATTCCCAAAACACAGGGATCATTCCAAAACACAGGGATCATCCCCAAAACACAGGGATCATTCCCAAAACACAGGGATCATTCCCAAAACACAGGGATCATCCCCAAAACACAGGGATCATTCCCAAAACACAGGGATCATTCCCAAAACACAGGGATCATTCCCAAAACACAGGGATCATTCCCAAAACACAGGGATCATTCCCAAAACACAGGGGTCATTCCCAAAACACAGGGATCATTCCCAAAACACTGGGATCATTCCCAAAACACAGGGATCATTCCCAAAACACAGGCATCATCCCCAAAACACAGGGATCATCCCCAAAACACAGGGATCATTCCCAAAACACAGGGATCATCCCCAAAACACAGGGATCATTCCCAAAACACAGGGATCATTCCCAAAACACAGGGATCATTCCCAAAGCACAGGGATCATTCCCAAAACACAGGGATCATTCCCAAAACACAGGGATCATCCCCAAAACACAGGGATCACCCCCAAAACACAGGGATCATTCCCAAAACACAGGGATCATTCCCAAAACACAGGGATCATTCCCAAAACACAGGGATCATTCCCAAAACACAGGGATCATTCCCAAAACACAGGGATCATCCCCAAAACACAGGGATCATTCCCAAAACACAGGGAACATCCCCAAAACACAGGGATCATTCCCAAAACACAGGGATCATTCCCAAAACACAGGGATCATTCCCAAAACACAGGGATCATTCCCAAAACACAGGGATCATCCCCAAAACACAGGGATCATTCCCAAAACACAGGGATCATCCCCAAAACACAGGGATCATTCCCAAAACACAGGGATCATTCCCAAAACACAGGGATCATCCCCAAAACACAGGGATCATTCCCAAAACACAGGGATCATTCCCAAAACACAGGGATCATCCCCAAAACACAGGGATCATTCCCAAAACACAGGGATCATTCCCAAAACACAGGGATCATCCCCAAAACACAGGGATCATTCCCAAAACACAGGGATCATCCCCAAAACACAGGGATCATCCCCAAAACACAGGGATCATTCCCAAAACACAGGGATCATTCCCAAAACACAGGGATCATCCCCAAAACACAGGGATCATTCCCAAAACACAGGGATCATCCCCAAAACACAGGGATCGTTCCCAAAACACAGGGATCATTCCCAAAACACAGGGATCATTCCCAAAACACAGGGATCATTCCCAAAACACAGGGATCATTCCCAAAACACAGGGATCATTCCCAAAACACAGGGATCATCCCCAAAACACAGGCATCATTCCCAAAACACAGGGATCATTCCCAAAACACAGGGATCATTCCCAAAACACAGGGATCATCCCCAAAACACAGGGATCATTCCCAAAACACAGGGATCATTCCCAAAACACAGGGATCATTCCCAAAACACAGGGATCATTCACAGGGATCATTCCCAAAACACAGGGATCATTCCCAAAACACAGGGATCATTCCCAAAACACAGGGATCATTCCCAAAACACAGGGATCATTCCCAAAACACAGGGATCATTCCCAAAACACAGGGATCATCCCCAAAACACAGGGATCATTCCCAAAACACAGGGATCATTCCCAAAACACAGGGATCATTCCCAAAACACAGGGATCATCCCCAAAACACAGGGATCATTCCCAAAACACAGGGATCATTCCCAAAACACAGGGATCATTCCCAAAACACAGGGATCATCCCCAAAACACAGGGATCATTCCCAAAACACAGGGATCATCCCCAAAACACAGGGATCATTCCCAAAACACAGGGATCATCCCCAAAACACAGGGATCATTCCCAAAACACAGGGATCATTCCCAAAACACAGGGATCATCCCCAAAACACAGGGATCATTCCCAAAACACAGGGATCATTCCCAAAACACAGGGATCATCTCCAAAACACAGGGATCATTCCCAAAACACAGGGATCATTCCCAAAACACAGGGATCATTCCCAAAACACAGGGATCATTCCCAAAACACAGGGATCATCCCCAAAACACAGGGATCATTCCCAAAACACAGGGATCATTCCCAAAACACAGGGATCATCCCCAAAACACAGGGATCATTCCCAAAACACAGGGATCATCCCCAAAACACAGGGATCATTCCCAAAACACAGGGATCATTCCCAAAACACAAGGATCATTCCCAAAACACAGGGATCATTCCCAAAACACAGGGATCATTCCCAAAACACAGGGATCATTCCCAAAACACAGGGATCATCCCCAAAACACAGGGATCATCCCCAAAACACAGGGATCATCCCCAAAACACAGGGATCATTCCCAAAACACAGGCATTCCCAAAACACAGGGATCATTCCCAAAACACAGGGATCATTCCCAAAACACAGGGATCATCCCCAAAACACAGGGATCATTCCCAAAACACAGGGATCATTCCCAAACCACAGAGATCATTCCCAAAACACAGGGATCATTCCCAAAACACAGGGATCATCCCTAAAACACAGGGATCATTCCCAAAACACAGGGATCATCCCCAAAACACAGGGATCATTCCCAAAACACAGGGATCATTCCCAAAACACAGGGATCATCCCCAAAACACAGGGATCATTCCCAAAACACAGGGATCATTCCCAAAACACAGGGATCATCCCCAAAACACAGGGATCATTCCCAAAACACAGGGATCATTCCCAAAACACAGGGATCATTCCCAAAACACAGGGATCATTCCCAAAACACAGGGATCATTCCCAAAACACAGGGATCATCCCCAAAACACAGGGATCATTCCCAAAACACAGGGATCATTCCCAAAACACAGGGATCATTCACAGGGATCATTCCCAAAACACAGGGATCATTCCCAAAACACAGGGATCATTCCCAAAACACAGGGATCATTCCCAAAACACAGGGATCATTCCCAAAACACAGGGATCATTCCCAAAACACAGGGATCATCCCCAAAACACAGGGATCATTCCCAAAACACAGGGATCATTCCCAAAACACAGGGATCATTCCCAAAACACAGGGATCATTCCCAAAACACAGGGATCATCCCCAAAACACAGGGATCATTCCCAAAACACAGGGATCATTCCCAAAACACAGGGATCATTCCCAAAACACAGGGATCATCCCCAAAACACAGGGATCATTCCCAAAACACAGGGATCATCCCCAAAACACAGGGATCATTCCCAAAACACAGGGATCATCCCCAAAACACAGGGATCATTCCCAAAACACAGGGATCATTCCCAAAACACAGGGATCATCCCCAAAACACAGGGATCATTCCCAAAACACAGGGATCATTCCCAAAACACAGGGATCATCTCCAAAACACAGGGATCATTCCCAAAACACAGGGATCATTCCCAAAACACAGGGATCATTCCCAAAACACAGGGATCATTCCCAAAACACAGGGATCATTCCCAAAACACAGGGATCATCCC